CTTTCCCTCTTGAGGGTGATTTTCGAGGCTTTATCCCCCAGGGCGGAATTATTGGCTCAAAGGGTGTGAAGAGTCGTGTAGCTCTTGCTAAATATTGCAGTTGGGTGTTGTGTGGAAGGTAGGCGCGCGCGCACGCACATATGCATGCAGCCCCCTCGACTGGTGTGTGATGGCCGTCGGGTGGCACCGTCCGGGCATGGTGAGCAGATGCTGGTGAACTGCTCTGCTGGCTGATGTGTCCTGAGGAATGTGGTGGGCTCCGGGGTCTGGACACCACCAGGGCCTGCAGGATGGCCCCCTCCCTGTGTCAACCCCTCAGTGCCTCCTGTACTCCTGTTCCTGCAGACCCCCCGCCGCAGGTGGTCCCTGTCCCCAACGTGACCGTGTCCTCTGGAGAGACCGCCATCCTGTCCTGCCGGGTCCTGGGCGAGTCCCCCTACAACCTGACGTGGGTCCGGGACTGGCGAGTCCTGTCGGCCTCGACGGGCAGAGTCACCCAGTTGGCCAACCTGTCCCTGGAGGTCAGGGACATCACCCCCAGTGACGGCGGGCGGTACCAGTGCATGGCCAGCAACTCCAACGGGGTCACGAGGGCGTCCGTCTGGCTCCTGGTGCGAGGTGAGGCTGCTGTCCTCCCAATTCAACACAATACCTAGCATTTCCCTCCAAAGCCCATCAATCCATCCCTCTGTCAGCCCTTTCAGTGTTTTCTCAACCTTTAGAGGAAGAGGATTCTGTAGCCTTCCAGCCTAAGTGTAGTGGTTCTCACTGTTGGGAAGTTCATCCTCATATCTGACCTAAATTTCTACTGCTGTAGGCCAAGCCAATTTCATTGAGTCCTGTCCTCTTCCCCTGCCATTGAACACCTCCATTACCTACCCCTCTCAATATGCAGGACAGAGATGGAACAGTGGAAACTTCTGAAAGCCCAGAGGTCAGACGTGCTTGGCAGGGGTTGGGTAGCGCCGACCAGATGGGGGTGGAGGAGGCAGTGGGAAGAACCCACGTCGGGAGTGTTGGTGCCTGGATTAGGTACTAACCTAGGATTTAGGTCCACCCAGGATTTAGACAGATCCTCCTCCCTGGGGTGCTGTCTCCCCAAGTGTAAAAGTGAGTGTGTTGGAACAACTTTTCTCCCTTATGCTGGTGACTGTTGATTGACTGCCTAGAGTGTGTTGAGAAGGATTCTGAGGCCGCATCTAGGCCACTGGTATGGGAGGGGCGTGTTTGCCATGTCTAGATGAGATGGCCCACGATGTCTGTTTGAGCCTGACAAGTCTGCTGCACTCTGAGCTTTCTGAGAGCCAGGACAGAACCTACGTTTGCAGCCAATACTTGGGCAGACCTTGAGGTCCACTCAGGTCTCCAGCCCTGGCATCTCGACAACTCCCTAAGCCTCTTCAAGGTGCTCAGCTCCGAGCAGAAATCCAGGGAGCTCAAGGCTCCCACTGGGGGGTATTGGGAATTCAGGTCCCCGTGTGGCCTGCGGATGTGCCTGGGAGGCTGCCTGGCAACACTCCCCAGTTCCCCAGCAAGCCGCTCCCAAGGATGCAGGTCCCTTGGGACCTCTGCTTCCTTTGTCTGCACCGTCTGTGGCTGCCGGGAGGGGCCGGGGTCCCAGGGCTGGATGCCTGGGGCAGCACAACTGCTCTGACAATCTCCTCCCGACCTGTCCACTCTCTGAACTACAGAGGCCCCACAGGCCAGCATCCACACCAGGTCACAGCGCTTTTCCCAGGGCATGGAGATCAGGGTCAGCTGCTCGGCCTCTGGATACCCTGCACCCCACATTTCCTGGAGCCATGAGGGTCATGCCCTGCAAGAGGACAGCAGGTGAGGGCTCAGGGCTTGGAGGTCTGGGACTGGGAACAGGTGGACTCCCAGGGGACCTCTCTGAGCCTCAGTCTTCTCAACTATTAATATAAATGGGGGAGTAGCCTTTGCCCTGCCTTCTTCCTGGGCTGATTTGAGGCTGAGGAGACAAATCACTTGGGAAACATAACAGTGTGGGCTCAGGGCTCAGGAGCTACAGCTGCAGAATCCAACAGACCTGTACTTGAATTCTGCCTCTGCCATTCAGGCTGTGTGACCTTGGGCAAGTCACCATACCTTTCTGAGCCCCATGAATGAAAAAAGAACATATGTAAAGTGCTGAACACACAGCCTGGCACAGAGCAAGCGGTCAGTGTAGAATGGTGTCACCAGTGATGTCATTAGTTAATTTGTTATTAATAAGGACTGGGGCAACCCCATGTGACCCGACCTAACCAGCCCCTTGCTGTTGAACACGTTTCATGGCATGACTCCAGAGTCCGCGTGGATGCCCAGGGAACCCTGATCATTCAGGGAGTGGCCCCAGAGGATGCTGGGAATTACAGCTGCCAGGCTGCTAATGATGTTGGCACAGACGAGAAGACAGTCACCCTCTACTATGCAGGTACTCGGGTCAAGGGTATCTGCAGGAGAAGGATCTCCAGCCCATCCTCCCTCCCTCCCTCCCATCCCCAGATACTTACTGAGCATCTACTTTGTGGCAGGCACTGGGGCTACAGCAGTGAACACAGGGTCCCCATCCAGGTGGAGCTTATATTCTAATGGGGAGGCACAAAGCAAACATGCAAACAGATAAATAAGGTACTTTCAGATGGTGAAGGTACTAGAACGAGCGAGCGCAGAGCAGGGTGGTGTGATGGAGTGACGTGCTCCTGGGCAGAGAGGGGAACGGCTGGTACACACAGGACCAGACCCTTGCCGCAGATGGGAATGGGAACAGCGTTCCAAGCAGAGGGATCGGGTGGGGCAAAAGCCTGGAGGTGGGAATGAGTTTGGGCTGCCCAAGGGGCTGCAAGGAGGCTGGCTGGAGTGAGGGGGCGGGGGAGGGGCAGGCAGCCCCTGTAGGGCCTTTTAGAACCTTGTAGGATTTCGGCTTTTATCTCAAGATCAATGAGGAGCAAAAGGGGGTTTGGTCCCGGGAGTACCGAGGCTACATCTTTCTGGGGTGACTGTCCCGGTTGGTGGGGGTTGGGGAGGAGGCAGGTGCTCAGCCCCACCTTGCCCCCGCCGCCCCTCCCCCAGCTGCATTCTCTCTCTAGGGAGTCTGTGGGTTGGTCCCCAATTCCCCGTCTGCTCCCCACACAGACCCACCGTCCGTCTCGGCCACGAATGCCGTGGTGCTGGCCGCCGTCGGGGAGGAGGCCGTGCTGGCGTGTGAGGCGTCCGGGGTACCTCCGCCCCGGATCATCTGGTATCGAGGTACACTGGGTGGGGGGAGGGGCCCGTGGACGGTCCCAATGGGGCCCTGGAGGGTCAGCTTTCCAGGACGGTCGTGGGGGGCACTCCGAATGGGGTGTCTGGAGAGAGAGGACTGTTTCTGGCAGCCCCAGTCCCATCCCCAGGCCAGCGTCCACGCAGCTAATGCAGGTTGGCTCCATGGTTAGGAGAAGGATCTAGAATAGACCTCGACTTGAATTCTGGCTCCCCTGGGTGACCTCAGACAAGTGACTTGGTATCTCTGAGCCTGCTTCCTTGGCTGGAAAGTCAAAGATAGGTGGTTGTATGAGGATTAAATGAGTCCACATGTGCAAATTGTTTACCACGAGCCTGGCACACGGGCAGGGCTCAGTGTTCTTAATGATGGTGACGATGGCGATGTGGTTATCTGAGAGCTAGCAGTAATGGTAAGAGGGCTGTTCTGAGGCTCTCCTGAGTTAACGAGTGTAGAGGGTTTTGTCTGTGCCAGACGCTGAGCTGGAGTTTGATTGACGGGAGCTGCTCTTGTGCCCACACCAGTGGACCTGGGTCCTGGGGCTCCTGCCTCAGACTTTCCAGGGGCAGAACACTGGGTTCCTTCTCAAGCACAGGCACCTCCCACCTGGATGCACTCCAGCCTTTGCAGCACCTGCCTATGATCTTGTCAGAGCCTCACCTTGACATCGCCAGGCAGAGTTAGCTCAGTTTGAGCATTTTGTCCACGGTCACCAGCTAGTGGTGGCAGAGGCCTCAGGACTCCTTACTCTGTGCTCAGGTCACTGCCTGTGGTGGCTGAGAGCTCTACCAGCCCAGCCTGGGAGCCCCTTTATAAAGGCGGAATCTCTCAATGGAATGTTGCTCAGCCTTAAAACGGAATGAAATTCAAACTGTACAATGATGAGAATAGTTACCCCTTAAAAATGGTTACGATAATACATTTTATGAGTTTTATTTAAAATTAAATTAAAATTTTCCTTAATTTGACTCCTATGGCAAAGAAAAAAAAAGAATGAAAAAAAACCAAAAACAAAAGGAAAAAAAATCAGGCTCATAGCAGCTGCTGTGTAGAAATTTCCCCCTACTTCTAATTTGCTGAATGGAGAAAAAAATCTTATTTATGATATTTTCAGAGACATTTGCTCTAGTATGGTGTATTTAAGTAGTAAAAAAGTAAAGGAAAGAAAATTTTTCTTAATTTGGAAAAAAGCAATGAAGTTTTGACAACATAGATGAACCTCGAAAACATTATGCTAACCAGACACAGAAGGACAAGTATTGAATGATTCCAGTTATTTGAGTGGAAACTCATATATGAGATGCCTAGAATATGCAAATTTATAGAGACCGAAAGGAGAATGGTGGTTGCCAGGGGCTGGGGGACGGGGAAATGGGGAGTTAGTGTTTAATAAGTAGGGTTTCAGTTTAAGAAGATGAAAAAGCTTTGTGGATGGGTGGTGGGAGTGGTTGCATGACAATGTGAATGTACTTAATGCCACTGAATTGGACCCTCAGAATGCTTAAAATGGTAAAATTTTGTGTTATGTATATGTATGTAGCACAATTTTAAGTGTAAAATATTAAGTTGTAAAAAGAGTTCAGACTCAGCGTGGTGCCTCAGGCCTCAGGAGGGGGAGGTCTGGAGTTGGGGTGGGGGAACAGTGCACGAGGGGAATGAGAATAAGGCCTCAAAGAGGCAGAACTGGGGGGGAGAGTGGTCATCTCCGTGACCCTGGGCTCCTCCCAGAGCTGATCCAAGCCTCAGTCTGCACCTGAGCAGAAGGTGGGGATCCAGGAGGGAGGCCCAGGCAAGGAGTTCTTGGGTGATGAGCCTGTCGCATTCAGGGGAACAGGCTGAGACTCACTCGTGGTCAACAAAGGGGCTCAGGGAACTGGACCCAAGGGTGCTGACTTTAAAATTGTGATAAAATTCGCCTAACGTAACATTTACCTTCTTAACCATTTTTAGGTGTACAGTTCAGTAGCATTAAGTATATTTACGTTGTTGTACAACCATCACCACCATCCATCTCCAGAACCCTTTACATTTAGCAAAACTAAAAATCTGTACTCATTAAACAATAGGGGTCCTGATTCTGGAGGGAAATCCTTCCCTCACCCACACCCCTCCAAGGTCCCTGCTTTGTGGAGTTGCAGGAACCCAGGGTCAGGAAGGCAGCCTGATCCCCTGGCCTCCTGTGGTAACCATGGGTACCTGCCTGATGTTTTCTCATTTTTGGTCCAGAGGGTCTTGAAATGATTCTGGCCTCTGAGGCCTCCAGCTCTGGGATCCTGCGAATCCCGGTGGCTCGGGAGAGGGATGCTGGCCTCTATACCTGCCGAGCTGTCAATGAGTTGGGCGATGCCTCTGCAGAAATCCGGCTGGAGGTTGGACGTGAGTGTACGCCTTGTCCCCACTTGCCCTGCCCCTCCTGCCTTCCCCCTTCCCTGTTCCCCACCACCTGCCCTATTTCTGAGCAGGGAGGAGAGAGTGGTACCATGTAGCCTGCCAGTGCGGAATTTGCATCATTTGGATCCAGGGCACGCGGGATGGGGATTTTAGAGGGAGATGGTGTATGTGTTACCTCTTGCTGTGTAACGAATTTTCTTAAAACTATGTGGCTTAAACCAATAAGCATCTATTTTCTCATGGTTCTGTGATTCTGGGAGTGGCTTTGCTGGGTGGTTCTAGCTCCAGGTCTCTCATGGGATGGCAGTTAATACCTTGGCCAGAGATGTGGTCATCTGAAGGCTTGACTGGGGCTGGAGAATCCACCCTAAGTTCACTCATGTGGCTGTTGGCAGGAGGCCTCTGTTCCTTATCTAGATAGGCTTCTCTAGAAGGCTTCTTGTGACATGGGTTTTCCCAGAGAAAGTGAGTCAAGAGGGATAGAGATAGAGATAACATCCAAGATGGAAGCTGCAGTCTTTATAACCAGTCGCAGTCTTGGAAGTGACATGCCATCACTTCTGCTATATTCTATTGGTCACGCAGACCAACACTGGTATGTGGTGAGTGGGAGGGACCACTCAAGTGTGAGAATCCCAAGAGGCAGGGGTCACTGCCCATCACAGAGATAGTTTGGTTCCAGCATGGGTGTCGTCATCCCTGAGACCTGAGTTCCAGTCTCGTCTTCATCACTTACCATCTATGTGCTTTGGTCAAATCATCGACCTCAGTTTCCCCATCTGTAAAATGGAGCTGACCACACTGCTTCCTTTGTTGGGTGGCTGTGAGGCTTCAGTGAAATCAGACACACAGTGCTTAGCACAGGGTTTGGCCCATTGTGAGTGCTTAATAAAGGGAGAAGCTATTATCCCCTTTTTACAGATGGGAAGTTTGAATTCTTCTGTGGCTGGTACATGGCCTTGGCTGTGATTGTCATGATGTCTAAGTTCCAGGCCTGGATCCTGGGCACTGGGAATTGCTCGGAAGTTGTGGGCACAGCTCCTTGGCGTGCTGAGCCGGAGCAGATTGTACTCTGAGGGTTGACTGTGGCCATAACGGGAAAGACAGGTGCTGGGAGTTCTAGGGAAGTGCAGAGAATAGAGAATGGGCTTGACTGGGTCAGGTGGGATGGCCAAGGGGCTCCCCAGGGAGGCTCAGTCAGGAGGGTCTGGCCCTGGGGGAGATGGTGCCAACTCAGGCTTGGGGATCCTCCCCATCTGTTCCATCATCTGTTCCTCCAACATGTGGTCACCTTGTAGCCAGGCCCTGTGCCCCAGACCCTGTGTTGGGGCTACAATGGCATCTGCCTTTGTGTTGTTCTTGGTGTCCAGAAGAGAGATGGTAAACAGACCATTAGAATACTCAGTGTACTGAGAATTTGGAAGTGGCATCCTTGGGTCCTGTGCCCAGAGGAGGGGGCTAAGCCAACACTGGAGGCTGGGAAGGCTTCTTGGAGGAGGTGATGTCTAAGCTGAACCCAGAAACAGTCAGGTGACGAGCTGGGGAACAGTGTTCCAGGCAGAGGGAACAGCATGTGCCGATCTCCCTATGGCAAGAGGAGTAAGGCAGCGAGTGAGGCATAGAGAGGGTGGGGAGGGGATGCTGGGGCAGCTGCCCAGTTGTGGGTCACTCCCGGCCTTGGGCTAGGGAGCCTGGTGGAGTTTGGGCTTTGTTCTGTGGAGGTGGTAAGAGGTTTCTAAGGAGGAGATTGATGTGCTCAGACTTTCCCTATCTAGAGTGCACTGTGTGGCTGAGCTCTTGAGTGGGGTGGGGTGGGTATGGAAAGCCACAGGCGTAGAGCCTGATAATAAAAATATAATAAGTCTTCCATGAAATCTGCCACATGCCGGGCCAGCTCTAAGCACATTTCATGTACTAGCATATAATCCTCATAACAACCTTTTGAGATGGATTTTACATTATCCCTTTTATAGATGGAGAAAACGAGGCACAGAGAGGTTAAGTGCCTTGCCCAAAGTCACACAGCTGGTGAGTGGCAGAGCTGAGATCTGAACCCAGGGTCCGGGCCTTTAGCCCCTGGACTTGATCCTGATGCTCCCAGCAAGGAGGGCTTGGATGTTGCTTCCCCACTGTGAGCCTCGGGCTCCTCACCTGCAAGATACTTCTGGATGTTGTGTGAGTGAGAGATAAGAAAGGCCTCGGACACAATGGGCTCTGACAAAGGTCACTGTCATTGTGATTAGTCAGTAGGTTCTGGGTGAGCAGAGAGGGTGCTCCAGGGAGGGCTGCCCTTGGCATTGTTACAAGCAGTCATCCTTTGCTCTGTGTCTGATTTCTGTCCAGCAAAACCTTATTTCTTTGGGGCCCAGGCTGACATGCCTGTTCCTTCACCTGTTAGCCATTGGTGTTGGGGACATTTCCCCAGGTGAGAGGTGGTGGGGGGATGGCTGGCGTCCCAGAGGCAGGCTTCTGGGGCACGGGGCATGGTGGCCTCTGGCCTTGAGGTCAGGGACGGCATGGACAGTGGCCCAACACCTGTGTATCTGGGGCGAGCTGGCCTGGCAGCAGTGGTGGGAAATTCAATTTCCTGCCCATCTGGGTGGCAGCTGTGTTGCAGCCTTCCTGGCCAGGCTGGCAGAGCCTGCCAGGGCTGAGAACGTGTGGGCACTGTGGCCACTTCCTGGTGTTCAGCTGGGAACTGGCTTCTTGGTGGTATTTGGGGCACAGGGAGGATGGCAGCCTCCTCCTGTACTGCCAGCAGGTGCCTGTATTTGTGGACCAAGCCTGCGAGGTGATTTTGCATCCCCTCTGGACCTGGCATTTGGCTGATAAGAGTCCTGGATCAATGTCCTGGTCCTGCTGCTTGTTTGGCCAAGTTATTTACCTTTCTGAGCCTCACTTTCATCATCTGTAAAATGGGGATGATACTGATAGAGGCTGTTCACAAGGTCCTTGAGAGATTTAATGAGATATTGTGTTTCACTCAGGGCTTGAATAGAATACATAATCAAAACACGGCCTGTGGGCTGGACCAGGCTGACAAGGGCCTGGCGAGGCAGACTGAGGCAGAGTGGTTATCACACGGCTGGTGACTGGGCTCCACGGTCGGCACCCGCTCCTGGAGCTCAGTGCTCTTTCTATTACTTTTTTTTTTTTTGGCCACGCCACTCGGCGTTCGGGATCTTAGTTCCCTGACCAGGGATCGAACCCATGCCCCCTTCAGTGGAGGTACAGACTGAGTCTTAACCACTGGACTGCCAGGGAAGTCCCATTCTTTCTATTACTTTAAAACTGCCCTGAGCTAAGTTCCCTTTGCCTTGCTGGATTTCTCTCTAAATGGGTGTTCACTCAGCCCTCTTTCTATCCTCTCATTTTAGTCTCTGCTTCTTATTCCCAACTCGGAAGCCCCTGATTGCTGGGTGAGTGAGCAGGGGAGCTGGGGGTGTGTTTTGTGGGAGCAAAGACCCTCTGGCTAGCATGGGGGAGCAGGAGAGAAGCAGAGCTGGGCTCTGTGGCCAGTGTGGTCAGTATCTGGGTGGCTTCTCTATCAGGCACAACAGGCAAGGGCCCAGAGCCCATGATACTTTTAGGGCTGCTGGACAGGGCTCTGATTTTATTGCCATCAGAAGAAAAAAGTGAAGAATAATGAATAGATTAAAAACGAATCCGGATTGTGTTTGTCTTTATAAACAGTCATAAAATATCATTTAAAATATTTTTTTAGGGGGCTTCCCTGGTGGCGCAGTGGTTGAGAGTCCGCCTGCCGATGCAGGGGACACGGGTTCATGCCCCTGGTCCGGGAAGATCCCACATGCCGCGGAGCGGCTGGGCCCATGAGCCATGGCCGCTGAGCCTGCGCGTCCGGAGCCTGTGCTCCGCAACGGGAGAGGCCTCAACAGTGAGAGGCCCGCGTACCGCAAAAAAAAAAAAAAAACTTTTTTAAGGAGGAAAGTCATCCTGCAGCCCTGGCCAATGGGGCTGTGGCTCCAGGCTCGACTCAACGATCTTTCTATGGGGAAAGGAGTCTTCCTGGGAGGCGGATGCGGAGGCCATCTCCAGCGTTGTCTCATTCACAGATACCCTGGAATTCCCTCTAAATGCAGGGCAGGGCCTGAGGCCAGCCTCTCCTGTGGCCACCCTGCCTGTCTACACAGTCTTTGGGCCTGAGACCCCCTCCCTCTTCTGACGGAACTGAGTCAGGACTGATTGGAGCTCTCCTTCCTGAGCTGGTGCATCCCCACCAGCTCTGCCCCAGGGCTCTGAGCCACAGGAACTGGGGGGATGGTGGAGGAGGCTGGGGGGCTACAGGGTCTCCAGACAATGATAAAGAGTCCTGGAACTTTAAGGTACTGGAATCGGGGTAAAAATAGTTACCTCTTTCTGGATGGGGAACTGAGGGTCAGAGTGGTGAAGGGGTTCATCCACGGGTGTCCAGTAGGGCAGGGGCAGCAGGGGGGCCCTGCCCAGGCTTCAGGCCTTCAGGCTGGTGTCCCTTGCCCTGGGGCCCAAGTAAGAGGAAGGCCGGCATCACCTCTGTCAATTTCACTTTGCTGGGAAATCCCTGGGGGTGGACGGAGTGGCCCAGCAGTGCTGTTAAAGGAAGTCTCAGCTTTGGCCACACCCTCCTGTCCTGCCCCCTCCCAGCCTGGTGGCTGGCGTCGTTGGTGGGGCTGTTCTGTCTTCTGTGGTGTTCCGGGTTCCTCCGCACAGAGCTGCGTCCCCACAAAAGCGCTGTAGCTATCAGGTGATGAGACCTGTGCCTCTCCAGGGAGCGCGGCAGCTGCTGTGATGTCTGGCTGTCTCTGGGCACTCGTAGCTCCTGACGCGGAAACCTGCCCAAGGTCAAGGCAGAAAGGGCTGTCCATGGGGAAATCCGGTGGCTGTGAGGCCAGCTCACGATCTCTCCCTGCCCCGAAGGTCACCTGAATCTGTGAGGAGCGATCTTCGAGCCTGAAAGCAGAGGCGGCTGAGCCTTGCGATGGGACCCTGGAAAGGGCGTGGGGCTGGGAACCCATCCCCACACCCAACATGCTGCAGGATCAGGATGGGCCCCGCCCCCACCCCGGCCCTCCCTCGGGCTTCAGTCTGCCATCTGCACAATGAGGAGACCAGAGGACCTTCAGCTCTGGTGTACAGGGTTCTGAGGTCCCGCCTTATTTGGGGGACTTCAATGAGGAGCAGGGACATGGCTGCGCAGGAGATGGAGTCACAGTTTTCTGGGCAGGATGTGAGTCGGGATTCACCTCTGAAAGAAGATGGAAGAGATGCTAGGTTACCCCTGAGTACTAGGGGGTACGGGGGTGCGGTGGCTGAGAGCCTGGGTCTTAGCAGCAGCCAGACCTGGGCTCTGATCCCAGCTCTGCCACTGACTTTGAGCTGCACCTGGGGCAGTTTCCTTAATCTCTCTGATCCTGTTTCCCCATCTGTAAAATGGGGTTGTGATAATACCCACTTCATGAGTTTATTGAGGCCATGAATGAACTCTAAAAGCACCATCACCATGCCTGTCACTTAGTAGGTTTTCCAAATGCTACCCTTTGTACATGATATTTGCTTACTATTATAAGTCAGCTGTCCTCTCTCAGGGGAAGAATTCAGGACGAGGCCTGCCTGGAGGAGGGAGGTTTGAGCTGTGCCCTGCAGTGGGCTGGGCAGAGCCGGGGAGGCAGGCTCTGGGGGTACCTGGCCCTGGAGCTGAGCCACGGCTCTGCTTAGGATGGGAAGAGGGGAATAGCAAAGCTCTGCCCCCGGGGCCAAGGCTCTGCAGGACCAGAGGCACCTGGATGGAAGACTTTCTTGGATTCTGAGCCGAGGCTTCTGCCAGGCCCCAAATGAGGAAGAAAAGCAACTCGCGGGTGGTGTCTGAGGTTGGGTCCAAGACTGTCTTCCTCCTTGCAGTGATTTTCCAAGTTGTGCTTCTATCTCCCTGGAACTTCCCTACTCCCTGAGGCCAAGAGGGAAATTTGATGTCATGATTTGGATGGATGGGGGAGATTTCTGGAGAGAGACAGCAAGAACAAAAGAGGTGGAGGTTTTTCCACAATGCTGGACGCAATGGGTTCAAAACAGGCCGGGGATCTTCCTGATTGTGGGTCTGGGGACAGGGACCTGAGGACAGTGCCCAGAAGCCGCAGGGAACAGGGCCTGGGCCTGTCTGGCGTTGGACCTGCTTCTGGCCAGCAGAAAGGTGGAAAGGATCATGAGCTTCTGTTTTGGGAAATAACCTATTTCCATGCACCGCCCCCCAATCATAAAAGTAAGACAATGCTTAGAAAAAAAGAAACACTACAAACCATTATCAGTGGTTACCTTGTGGAAGGGCATGGGATTTAGAGTGTGTGGAGCAAAAGTTAAGGAAATAAATCCTCGTGTGTTGCTTGGACTTTTTTTTTTTTTTTGCTTGGATGTTTTATAACTCAGGTGAGCAGGGCTGCCCTTGTTTGCATCTGTTGTCCTGGTGTAATTATTAATATGGCTCTTTTCACTCTTTTTTTTTTTTTTTTTTTTTTATATGTGGGAGGACTCACACTATCAATGTTACTAGAAGTTGTCCAGGTATAAATTTTTATGCCAATTTTTTAAAAATCCTCCTTTATATTGATTTAGCAAATATTAGGATAAATTTTATTTAATAGTAGTCTTCTGGAAATGAAGGAGGGAAAAATGGTTATGGTCTAGAACAATTTATTGTTAAATTTTACTGAGAAAAATTAAAAGAATTTACATATTAACCTAGCACAGTGAATTTTTAGGTTCCCTGCCTGAAAAAGATACACTTGCAACTGGAAAGCCAGAGCTTCCCTATAGCTATAATGTGGAGGTACCCCTGCATCGGCAGGCGGACTCTCAACCACTGCGCCACCAGGGAAGCCCTCTTTTCACTCTTAAGTGTCCCATTTGGACCATAAAGTATAAGATCAAGTTATTTATAGGCTTGTTTTGATTTTGTAGTAGAGATTTATGTGCTTCTTACAAAACGTTCAACAGCAGAGAAGGATGAAGCATATGGTAAAGATGGGCTAGAACCTCCCCACGAAGTTGGCTCTTTGGGAAAATGGTTGCCGGAGTCTAGGAGACCCGTGAAAGGAAGCCCCCGTGGCCCAGGAAGAGGGCAAGGGAGGTGACGCTCAGAGCTGGTGGGGCTCCTGTGGCTGAGGGTGACTTGCAGCCCCTCTGAGGTGGGCTTCCCAGGAGGTGCAAAGAGCAGAAGCAGGAACGTTGCTCCCCCGTATGGCTGGGCAAAGCGGGGTCCCTGAGACCCCACGTAGGGTGTGAGGACTTCACCCTGCCAAAGGGCACTTGCTCTCCTCATCATCCTCAGGAGCTCTCCAGGGTGGACCTGCCAAACTCAAGTTGGCCCCGGGAGCCCTGGATATGAGTCAGGTTCATGAGGGCGAGGCTGGAAGAGGGAAACGGCCGCAGCGACCGGAGGGGAGGCAGAGGCCTCCGAACAGTGCCCTGGGGGCTGGGTGAGGCTGACCGCTCACCTCCCTGCAGATGCGCCCCAGCTGACAGAGCTGCCCCAGGATGTCACCGTGGAACTGGGGAGGAGCGCCCTCCTGGCATGCCGGGCCACGGGCCGCCCATCCCCTATGGTCACCTGGCGCCGTGGAGATGGCCAGCCGCTGGGGCCCGGGCAGGGCAGCGCAACTGGGCGGCCTGATTCCGGAGTGCTGTTCTTTGACAGTAAGAGATTGGGGCTGAGGGAGGATGGGCAGGGGAGACAGAATGGCTTCCGACAGCCTCAGCCCCCAGACTGGGTGGCCGGGAGCAGGGCCCTGACCCCCAGTGCTGACCATAGGTCAGGCTGTTGCAGGGTCATATTTCAGTTGGGTGACTCTGGTCACGTCATCCCACTGCACTGGTCACAATAGTGATAATGACAATACCTACCACCTGGGTTTAATAACAGGCCACCTTAAGGAGCTATTGCGTGAATAATACACGTAAATCCCTTAGCACAGTTCCTGACACATAGTAAGTGTCATATATGGTAACCATCATCCTCACCATCCTCACCATCACCACCATCACCATCCTCACCATCACCACCGTCACCATCCTCACCATCCTCACCATCACCACAATCACCATCATCACCATTATCACCATCCTCACCATCACACCATCCTCACCATCACCACCATCACCACCATCCTCACCATCACCATCACCATCACCATCCTCACCATCACCACCGTCGTCCTCACCACCATCATCATCACCACCATCACCACCATCCTCACCATCACCATCACCATCCTCACCATCACCACCGTCGTCCTCGCCACCATCATCATCATCATCATCATCACGATCACCATCACCATCATCACCATCCTCACCATCACCACCATCATCATCGTCACTACTACTGCTCCTATCTACTATGTGCCAGGCCGATGCTGAGCACTGTATTTGCATTATCTATTGACCCCTCCCAGTCACACTGCAGCGTGCAGTTATTGATAAGTTATTCCCATGCTACACATGAACAAGCCGAGGCCTTCTCACCCTCCCAAGGCCTGGCTGTATCCCCCATCCCTCTCTCCCTGCCAGCCCAGCCCTCCTACCTAACCTCCGCAGGGCCAGACAGTGACAAGGGCGCGTCTGCACCTGGGGAGCTGGAGCCTGTGGGAGCTGGGGCCGTGATGTGCTCTAACAGTCAGGCCTGCCTCTTTCCTGCTCCTCAGGTGTGATTCCTGAAGACCAGGCCCCGTATGTCTGTGAAGCTCAAAATGTCTTCGGGAAAGTACAGGCAGAGGCCCACCTCCTTGTGACTGGACATGGTTCGCTGGTGGATCTGGAGAGGAGGGTTTGGGGGGGACACCAGGCACCCTCAGAGACACCAGCCCCCCATGACTGCCCATCCTTTGGGACAGGTGTGTCCATAGCCAGGTTCTCCAGGAGGAGCATCTGGACCCCTACTTCCTGGGCAGTGTGCCCCAAGAAGTGTGCCCTTTGACCCTTTAGGGTCCCCAATCCTGATGCTTCCGCTGGTTCCCTGGGGAGGAGACAGTGGGGAGTGGGGGCCTCTGTCCCCCGGATGCCCACCCACAGGAGTCTCGTGTACCCACACTGTCTGCTCTCCCGATAGCACCTCCACAGATTGCCAGCAGCGCCTCCACCGTCCGGGTGCTGGAGAGGCAGCCTGTGTCCCTGCCCTGCATCATCCTGGCTGGGAGGCCCCGCCCTGAGAGGCGCTGGCTCAAGGCCGGCCAGCCCGTGAGTGCAGGGCCCCTCTGGGTGCAGGGGAGGAGGGCGCTGTCACGTTCACACCTCGGTCTCTGCTTTGCGGTTCCCCTGTTTTGGAATGTCCTCTTCCTTCCTGCTGCTTTCCAGAACCTTCTCTGATAACGCACTGATAGCATCCTTCACCCTCTAGAGTCCTTGGCCAGAGGAGCTTGTGCATCATTAGTGCTGTGGGCGGGGGCACAGACGCAATGCATTCGTCACCCCCGTTTGGATGATTACAGGGCAGAGACGTGACCCGAGCGGCTGAACATCTGTGCCGGCTGCCTGGCACACTGCTGGGTGCACAGGGGCTGCTTCTCCCATTCCCATGCATTGGGTTTTCTTTATTTCCCTCTATTTCCTTTCTGCCATTCACTCCTTCTTTGCCTCTCCCTTTTCCTCCATCCTTCTGGCCTATCCTCAGACATCCCGCGGTCCTTGTGCCCTGGAAGCTATAAAAGAGGTGCCCTTGCCCCAGCAGACAGCAGACGCTGGACACCCAGAGAGGCAGTGACTGTGTGACCAGATGGCTGCCCTGGTCCTGGGCCTGTTGTTCCAGTCCCTGATGCAGTGCAGACAGGGTCCAGCTCCTGGAGCAGGGAGGCTTTGCCGAGGCTGCTCGAGTGGGTGACTCCTTCCGCAGCCTGTGTAATTAGATGTGACCCCGAGGAGGACCCTGCCTGGGCACGTAGGCTGGGGCGGTGAGGAGCCTTCTTCAGTAGAATCCGATGGGCATGTGGGGAGGGGTGGCCCTGGGCCTTGTCCACACCAGGACAGGAAGTGGCTGGAGACGCAGAGCTTGTTTAGTTCAGTGGGGATACTGGGTGGACCTGCGCCTGCCCAGCTGCCGAGTGCAAGGAGCAGAGCCCCCCTCAAGCTCACTCAGCCTGAAAGGGCCTGGTACCGAGACAGCCCAGGAGCCTCTCCCGGAACCAGAGTGCAGAATGTGCAGTCGGGTTCGCGGAACAGGGACAGGGAGGCTTAAAGCGGGCTCAGCCCTGGTGGAAAGGTTTTGGGGCCCCTCCCCAAGGATGGACTGGCTGGACATCTTTATAGAGGTTGCCCCAGGCCCCATTCTGGACCAGCGCCACCTGCACCACCCCGGTCCTGATGGGGACAGACCTGGGCAGCCACCAGGAGTGGCTTTCTCTGCTTCTCTCTCTGGGACCCCATCTGATGCGGCCACACCTCTGTTCCGCTCTGCATGGCTCTGTTCTCTCTCCATAGTCGGGTTGTCCCTCCTCTCTGTGGCCTCAGTGTGCGAGGGCCTTGGAGCTTCAGCCCCGACTCAGTAAAGGCTCTGGCTCCAACCCTGCACTCCTGGGAGAGGCTCCCGTCAGCCCCCTTGGGTCAGGTGTCTTGCCCTGGACCAGTTGGCCCTGGGAGAGTGGGGTCAGTGGGGGGCCGGGGGTCGGGCCCACCTGGCCCTGAGGATCTGTGTGGGGGGGTGGATGAATATCAGGGAAGGGGTAGGAGCATCACCCCCCCAGATTCCCCCACCCTCTCCAAACCCCTGGCCTCTCGGTCCAGGCTGCCCCCTGCTGGCCTGGTGGGCGGTGAGGTTTCCGGGGTGCGCTCTCTCAGCTGGCTCTGAGCTGGCTCTGAGTGGGGCAAGCTGGTGCTTCCTCGCCCTCACCAGCTCCCACCGGGCAGCCAGCATTCCGTCCGAGCAGATGGCAGTCTCCACCTTGACCAGGCACTGTTGGAGGATGCAGGGAGGTACACCTGTTTGGTCAGCAACACGGCCGGCTCTCAGCACAGGGACGTGCAGCTGGTTGTCCAGGGTGAGTCCCGGGGTGGTGGGGGAGGGCACCCCGGGGGAGCTTGACCTTGAACATCTCTGTTTAGACAAATTGCACAAATAGTACATACTCACTGTAGGAAATTTAGAGATTGGACAACCCCCTGCCCCACACACACACAAAAAAACCCCCAAAACAAAACCAAACAAACAAAAAGAAACCTCCCTTAACACCAGTAGCTAAGAAGAACGAGAATAATTTTACGTTTTGGTGTGTATCTTTCACACTTAATACACACATGAGTTTGCACATGTACATATACACACACTGTATATATTTATATAATATATACATTATATATATTCTTTAGATATGTTGTATATAAATTATTTTTGCATGATATATATTCTTTATATAAATTAGGTAAAAATCCTTTGTGTACACATACATAGAAAGTTAGAAATCAACTGGAACCAGGTAATATTACTGTCTTGCAACCTGAGTGTTTCTTGTGACAATATTTTATGACTCTTTTCTGTCAGTAACACTCAGCAGCAGTGGTTTAAGGCTGCATGTCCCCACTTTGGATGAGCCAGGAGTGTCTAACCTGTCCCCTAGCGTCCTGTTTCTCACCAGCATGAACACCTGGGGATAAACATCCTCATGCTCCACCTCTGCCCACGTGACCAATTCTTTCCC